TTCTACTGAAGGAAATTTTGTTGCCTTGTTTTTGAGGAAACTAATCTGATCTGAATAGAAAGCGTGGCGATTATATCCATTATTCTTTCGTAGATTTGCACTCACCCTGCCCCACAGGCTGTCGCATGAACTTCTCCAAATGGCTCCAGTCCTCGTGCATGTGGCGGATGAGTTGGAAACTGTGCAGTGGATTCGAAAGGTACTCCTCCTCCCTTCCCTTCGAAGCCTGGAGAGGTGTCCGCATCGCCTTTGCACATCTGTGGGAGCACCCAACCCCACCCAAGCGATTCAAACGGTTTTCAGGGGGTCGGATCTCGTTATCCCTAGTCTCACCTCTGCAGCACGTTGACTTTTTCCTGTAACTTATCAGCATATTGCACGAGGTTTGAGATCAGCTCCCTGTCCAGCAGCAGCAGCTCCATTCGATCAGCCATTGAGATCATAAACTCCTTGGGTGGATTGGAGCTCGTTTCCGTTTCCGTTCTCGTCTGATTCTGACTCTGACCAGCAGCACTCGTGAGGAATAGGAGAATCAGGAGTGGCAGCATTGTAGTGTTGGATTTATCATCTGGAAAGCAGAATATAGCTTTTATTTTGTGCTATTTCGTGTGTTTAAAAAGTGAAGGGCAACTTGAACGTATCGTTTGAATGGAAATAATAAGGTGTTTAATTAGTGAGCTTCGAATGCTGTGAAACAAAGCCAACGGTGGCTTAAGTATGTCGCAGTAATGATTATCTGCTGATTTATCGGTTTTTTTGTTGGAACTTCGTGAAATTCAAATGGAGGAATACATTTCTACACCCTTAGACACCTTTCCATTTATCCCACATATGTCCCTTCCATCCCCTCCTCAAAATCATCATACCCTTCTCTAGACTCTCATCACACACCGAACACATCGAAGAACTCGTGCAACTCATTTTGGCGTACATTTGCAATAAATTTTGCCGCCTGTTGACAAGCCGCAAAGTATCCTTTAAACTGGCTAAACCCGTGTCTCCTTCTTTTTGCCTTGCATCCTTTTGCTGGAGGAGGAGGAGGAGGAGGATTCTACATTCTAGATGGCAAAAAGGAACACCAGCCTGGCAAACGCGATTTTTATCGCAATTCAATAGAGTTTCCGTTACATTACGCTGCTCCGATGTCCTTCGTCCTCCGCTTTGTATCCCATGTCGTGGTCCTGGTCCTGGTCCTGGCCCTGGTCCTTTGTCTAGCTGCGGAACTAACAGCGCCACATTTTGTATCCGTGCGACGTGTCAACGTGTATTGCTTCCGTTTCTCCTGCTCCTTCCCCTTTCTCTTCCTGCTTTTGTACTTTTGTGTGTTATTGCCTCTCGTTTGTGCACCTTGTGGCACGGAGACAAGAATGTTATTGAAATTTTATGTTGTCTGCGATTTCTTTTCGCTTTTCGCTGGGTTTTCTGGATTTACATTTCCCTGGCAGCTGATTTATGGCCTGACGTGTGCTCCTTGGGGGTAGGATGTGGTGACGGAGAGACAGGGGCAGGACCTGCCCCTCAAAGGATGGTCCCATAATTAGCCAGCCGCAGATAATCCTCCCATCCCACTCCATCTCCCAATCAGAAATGGAAAAGGGGTTGGCTTTTTGGAAAACTTTGCGCCTTTTACTTTTATTTTTGTTTCAGCTTTCAGCTTCCGCGGAAATTGAATTACGGGCCTTTGCTCCGCTCTGAAATGTCAATCTTTGAGGTAGAGAGAGAGAGAGAGGCAAAGAGAGAGGGTTGTGTCGCAGAAGAGGCAGAAGTCACCTTGAGTGGAGGATTCCTCTCATTATGATTCCGTTTCTGGATGCTTCGCTTATTTACCTTGAAATTAAAAATGCGAAAGGAGATTCCTTGAAGATGCCTTCGCTTGAAGGAACCATCTCAGCCAGAAGCCTCGCGCAGAGGCAGATTCCAGTGAATTATTTATGGCACTTGCTCCCTCCCTTGTGGCTCCGCCGAAAGCCGAACGGGAGACACAGAAACAGATTACAAGATTAAATTATTGTAACAAGGGCATTACGCAACTACTTTGCATAATTTACCACAAAAAAAAATGGAGGAAAACTGTGGAGAAAAAGTCAAGGGGCGCAGAAATAAAAAAAACATTCATCTTGGCAGCAAACGAAATCCCAAGGACTTCTTGGGAGTAGACAAAAATATACACAAGATAAAATAAAACACTAGGTAGGACTCTCTCCTCTCCCCTCATCCTTTTAGTAGGTGACAGTCGAGGGCCTTCCAGTATCCTTCCTGTAGGTCCCCCGAGGCGTATACGTAACGATTCGGTGTTTACAGCAATTTGTCACTTTTTGGTAACCTGCTGCCGCTCCTCAAGGACCTGCTGCCAAAAAGGAAGAAGGGGAAGACTGCAATCCAGACGACACTGCCACAGCCACAGGAATGCCTAATTTGCATTTTAATTTAATTTTTTCCATACCGCGAAATGTCAACAGACAGGGGACTCTCAAGACACAGGACACAGGACTCCTCAGGACTCAAGGCTCGAGTCACTTGCAGACATCTACTTCGAATCAGACCAGACGGTGGCTGTGGCACCCCCCTCAAAGGAAAAGGAGTTCGTTTTTGTTTGTCTTTCTGTCTTTTTCTTGGCGCACTTTTAATTGAGCGCCGCATATGCATGAGGCACGGGACACGGGGCATGGCCATGAGGCACAAAGGCATGAGGCCGTGGCGCAACTCAATTAAAGCGATTGCCACGTCGCATCGCGTCGCTTTGAACTTCAACCTCCACTTGAAGGCGATTCTTGCCTCAAGGAACAATCTGATCCGGCAAAAATCAATGCCATCGATTGTCCGCCCATAAAACTCTATGCGACATCGAATTATGGGCATCATAAAATTCGAGGCGATGCAAAGAGACAGAGAGAGAGAGAAAGGGGAAAATGAGAAAAGAGGTTGAAACTCGTGCTGCAGCTGCGGTAATCCGATACATTGCACGGCTGTCGCCGGTTGGGGGGATTCACTGGGGAAATAAATAGAGCCAAAATAAATAAAGTCTTTTTTCATTAGTATTTCATGGAATTAATACAAATAATTCCATTTACAAAATAAAATTAGTGTTTATACTTTTACAAATAAATACATAAGTTTTCCGTCTTCAATTAAAGATACGATAGCTGCGACGTAAGCACGCGAATGGCAAAATAAGTTGGCAGATGGGCAACCTCCTTCCAGGTATCGGCGTGCAACTCTAACAAATTCGACAACGACCCCGTCATCCAAACAATGACTGTCAAATACTGGCAAAAGTGAGTTGTAAATTATACAGATATAGAGATCTACAAATTTGAATCTTTCATAGATTTATTGGAAATATTAACCTACGAACATTTTAGGTAAGTATAAAGTGAAACGAAAAAACATTTAAGAATGTTTTCCCTGAGTGTTGTGTCTGCCCTTCCTTTTCTATTTGGAGCTTGTAAATTTTCACAGAAATTGTCAGGGGAAACCAATCGTGCAACCGTTATTACCTGTTCAGGGCTCCCTTTTGGCACTCCCTGCTCTTCTCCTCCCTCTCTTTCTCTGTGTCCCTTTGTCTCTTGCTGGTGGACACCGACACGGACGTGTTGCCATTGCGGTTGCACTCCGTTTCCGTCTGCGTTACGGCTCATAATTCTTTAGATTTATGAAGTGTAACCGGAGAAGAGTAGAGCAGCTATGTCTGTCGCCTGGCGAGACTCCAGGAAAGTAGGACCTTCAAGGGGTTAAGCTCTGTTTGGACGGAGAGCCATAGCCAAAGTGCTGCATTAAGGAGATTCCTAATCTGCTCCTCCTCTTTTCTGATTGAGTTCCACCTCCTTTTGGAGCTACATTCCCCCTGTAAACGTACCCAATCGTTACGGCCACCTACAGCCTCATTTTCAGCCTCATCTTCCTGCCACATCTTGTGTCACGTGACGACACTCACCTAATTTGAGAGCAACAGCACTTAATCCAATCCACGACGCCACGAAGCACAATGGGGATAAATACCTTTGTGGCGGTTAACCATAGCCCCTTGCCAACCCACCCACCCCCGCCGGTTCTCGTGTAATCCGTGGCACTTGGCACGCTCCCTAACTGCCACTTGAGGCAGATTGCTTGCTACCAAGCAATGCTAGACTGTGGCACGAACTGAAGCTCTTCTTCGCTTATTACCTGGCGAGAGGAGTTGCCTCCCATCCCTGAAGGTCGCTTATCTCTCTCTCCAGATTGTTAATGTATTAATTTGAATTCCTTATGAGAAGGTGCAGAGTGGGAGGCAAGAGCAGGGCAGGACTCTTCCTCTCCTCCTCCCTCTACCGTCTGGAAAATATGTTTGACGGAGCAAATTTAGTGGAAAATTGCCGCATGTCATTGGGCAAATACTCGCACGGATCGGGGGGGCTGATGCAAGTGAAAATGCTACGTGACTGCCATTGCAAAAGTCCTGCGAAAACAGGGAAACCCCTGTTTCACGGAAGGAATTCCAGGGACAAATTGGCCAACTTCTGGCGAAACTTCCCTCAAGGAGTGCCCCGGAAAATTTAAAAAACAAATCACACCTCCAAGGACCAAGGACCAGCCGCAAGACAAATTTCCGGGGCTAAAAAACCTTCCGCACAGACGTAGGAAGTGCACACAAAGGACACACACGTATGGGAGTCCTGAAGTCCCGCCGGTAATGGAGTGGACTTTATTTGCGCTCCTTGTTTGTTGCTGGACATGCTTCGATGCTTCGAATGGTACCACCCTCTATCCTCTACCACCTTTTGTGGCACACTCCGACATGCGACATGGGACATGGGACGAGCGGCGCATTTGTCAGCCACTGCATGTAGAGTCCTTGCCCCTTCCTCTTGCCCCTGGGCTCCTGTGGGCAGCATTCGAATTGGAATTCAAAGCAATCGAAGCAATCATTTCACGAATGTCAGATGTTTTTGTGTTTATCGAAGCAGCATTCCATTCCTTTCGTTTCGTTTCATTTGGTTTTACTTTCCAGCTAGAATAAAATTATAGAAAAAAATATACAAAAATATATACGAGGTATGATGGAATACTGGCTCCAATTGGTCAACGAACACGCGCTGAAACTCCTGCCGGAGGTGGAGGCGCAGAAGCAGGAGCTGGAGCAGGAGCAGGAGACGACATTTATCTCTGTTTTTAGCCACCAGGGTTCCCCCATTATTCCTCCTTTGGTAAGAGATGCCAGAGAGTATTTGAAAACCCATTCTGAATAATCCTCAAACCATCCACAGATGACGCCCCAGCGACGGCGGGAGATGCAGAATCATCGCTCCACCGCCCTGGCCATCGAGGGGTATCTGAAGGAGAAAAATGGACGCAAATCCAAGGTTCGCTCTCTGCGGGCACCCGAAATGAAAAAAGAAGCTCCCCCTCTATCTGTAGTAGGACGCTTCCCGCAGCAGCTGCAGCGCTCTGAGACGTTGATCTACGACAATGGCCTCAACAGGATCATCAAACCCCCGCCACGGACTCCCCCCTCACCGCCCTTGGCCATCCGCATGTCGTCTTCCGTGCTGATCGAGGACCCCCCTCTGATGGCCGTCCAGCGGGCGGCGGTGCAGCTGTGCGCCCCGCTATTCGCGAAGCCCAGCAAAAGCCTCGTCGCCCGTGCCACGCCTCCTGCGAAGCCCCTGATCGTTGGCCCCCCCAGAGCCATGTCGAAGCTGAAAGAGCAGGAACTGGAGGAGGAGAGGAAGGAGAAGTGGCGGAGGGAGAGGGAGAAGCAGCAGAACCTAAGCCTGGAGCACAAGCACACGATGAAACTCATCCAAGTGGCCAAGACTCTGCCCTGGGGTGTCCTCCAGATAGCGCCTCTGCTGCGCTCCAACACGCATCCCGTTCTCCGGAGGATGCCACACCGCCACACGGAGGCCAACTTCCACACGATGCCGCAACGCCACACAGAGTCCAGTCTCGAGCGGAAGCACTCGGAAACAGAGTCCAGTCTCCAGCTACACCCACAACTGTGGAAGCGGCAGAACACCATCGTTTACAGCTGTCCTAATTCTCCAAGGACAAACCGTTTTCCGACAACGAAAAACCAGGAAAAGGAGACTCAAGAAGAGGCAAAGAAAGGACCAGAAAAAGGGGCGAAAGAAGAGCCCAAACAGCGGAAGCAGAGCCTGGAGAAGAAACCCAAGTCCAAAGGGAGATTCTCTCTTTCTCCGAGACGCCCTGCCCCACCCCACAATGTCTCCTGGAGCGGCCACAACTTTGCTTCATCGATGAGTAGCGTCACGCAGCGCAGGCGCAGCTATGACCCACAGGCCTCTCTCATGCGGGACGCTAAGCAAAAGGTGGCGGGAAGGCAGCTTCCACTCAGTCCGAGGCAGTCCGCTGCCTTTGACAGGGGAAGGGCATCGACGACTACTCATCCTCCCTCGAATACTCCCAAGGAAACGCTGTCTGCCCTGACGATCCACCAAGCGGAGGCGGAGGAGCAGCGCCAGCGTTTCCTGGCGCTCGTCTCCAAGCAGGCGGAGGAGCAGCAGCGCCTCCAAGCGCAGTTCGAGGCCCAGCAGCAGATCCTCATCGATCAGATGCTCGGCGAAGTAAAGAAGCTATCAAGCCCTGCTGCCGACTAATCCGACAATCTATTCTTATTCCTAATGTCTCTTCTACCTGTGCATGTGCGAAAAGCCGCTAGTAAAGCCATCAGACAGCATCGGACAGCGTCATAAATTCATCTAATCCGTTGCTAATCTCCAACGGATGGGGCATGGGGGAACTCCGCCAAATATAGCGGTGGGGCATCTCTAATTGCGCCCAACGTCTGCTGCTGCTCCGCTCTGCTCTGCTCTGCTCTTGCCACACAAGTTGCCACACATCGCGGAGCAGCCGCCACCTGCCTTAACGTCTCACTCGCTGATGTCTCTATAGAACGTTGCGATGTCTCCTCTCCTGAATTTTCGCTTGCCTTGCCCCATCGTTTCACTCGTTTCACGCCCATCACTTGGCGGCCTGTTATTAAGTGTAAGAAATTATAATTTCATAAATTGTTATGCTTTATTTAGAGTGCGGAGCGGAGCGGATCGTATACCCCGATCCTCCTCTAGCGCTGCGTGTGGCAGATCGTGGCTCGTGTGATTTGCTCGCTTCGGAAGCTGCTGGCGGCGGGCGATATTGAGACTTAAGTGGACACACGAGTAATTAAAAGCACTTAAGAGTCGCCGACTCCGCACAGAGACGGAGATGGAGGTTGCCCCACTGCCGGCAGAGATATAGTACGAGTAGTACGAGACTGAGATATGTTATAGAGGCAGACAGACGAGGTGCAGATTCTGCAGTGGGATGTATTCTGTGCACATTGGATGTTGGCCAAGTTTCCCAGCAATTGGCAGAGAGAGAGACTAAGATCTCAGACGATGCTTCTGTCGATCAGGGAATGTTCGACGGGGGATCCTTCTGCATAAAGTGACCTCATTTTCCATTAAAGAAAGATTAAATGTGGGAGAGGAAGTCGCAAATTAAGTTAGAAATAGCCTCATAGTGGATTAAAGTCAATAGAAAGAACTTATACGATGACTAAGGACTTCCAGATGGTACTAAGAAGGGCCAATGAATGCTCGGGGCTAAACTACGCATAACTCCCCAAATGTCTTTTGTAACTCCAATAAGTTATATTGCAGATGGCAATGAATAGATCAGACAAGTATTATAAGAGTTGTGTGGGGATGCGTCTGCCCCAAAACTCACCTCCAGTCTTTAAAGAACTTTCCAGAGTGGAGGTAGAGATGGGGACTCCTCCGTTCGAGTGTCGCAAATGAAGTTTGGAAATAGTTGCCGGGCCTAATCTCTTGTTTTTTCACTTGGCTAATCACACAAAAGAACAGCAGCAGAGCAGAGTAGGCGAAAACACCATGGAATGTGTCTACGAGTATAAATATTCGCGGCTCCACTCCATACCCACGGGGTGGGGCCATGGGATGGGAGTCTTATTAAATGAAGTGCACATGAAACGGGCATTCGAACGGATTTCCATGACTAGAATAAACATAATCAAAGTAATAACTCCTAACCCTCTCCACTGCCCCTGCCCCTGCCCCTGCCCCACCTCGTCCTCCTCCTCCCACCCCATCCTTCATTCCACGGAAAACATGTGAAATTAATCTTGTTTATGTTTGTGGGAGGAAAAGGAAAAGCGAACGCCAGAGAAAAGCAAGAAAGTTTTCTTGAAAGTTTTCTTCGGTTGCGTTGCCTTTTTGCACACAAGTTTTCCTCTCGAACGAAAGGAGATGGAAAGGGGGACGGGTAGAGAGGGGGTGAGAAGAACTTTTTGGAGTGAAAATAAATAAAATCGAATGATTTCACTTTTGTTTCGGGGCACGTAAATAGTTTCTGCTACTTGCCACTTGCCACTGGATAGAAAAAACCATTCAAGTGATGAAAATTCGAAAATTTAATTAAAATATTTTTGCAAGACGTTTAAAAACGCCAGAAAACCGCTCGCATGAAAGCGGCATACATATGTACATACATATGTAAGTATCAGGCATTTATAAACGGTAAAAAAAACGTGTGTGTATAGATTTAAGGCGTTTAAAAACGCTTCAAAACCGTTCGCCCTAAAATCACCTTTGTATGGTAGTAGGCGTTTAAAATCGCCAAGAAAACGCATATGTAAATGGGGTTTTAAAAGTAGACAGGGGATAGAGGGTGTTTGCTCTTATGTGGGTTCCGAGACATAGGGCTGTAGGTGTGTAGACAACCCCCTTGTACCACCCTTGTATCCCGCTCGTATTTCTGTAGTCGTCGCGGGGCGGCTGTGGCATAATCAGCTTATTCCTGCAACATATTCGTGCGAGTAAGTGAAAAGTTCTGTCAATAAAAAATCGAAATCACGAGCGAGCGAGAAATTTGTTTACCGTTTAAATTCGATTTTGATCCTATTTATCCAGTAAATTGCAGCAATTGAAAGGATTTGCACAGAGCCAACATTCGAACACCGAAGAAGGACGCATCGAAGGCGGCATCATCATCGTCCTGGCGTTGTTTGATTTTCAAATTACCTTTTTCATGGTTCTGGAGGAAGGTCCTAGAGAGTGAATGATGTCGAATGGAGTGATGTGTGATGTGCGATGTGTGATGTGCGATGTGCGGCTGAGGGTTTGGGCATTTGTTAAAGCTTAACCATAGGATCTCTAGCTTTAACAGATATGTACATTCATGCCCCCTCCTATCCCCTGGGTATCTATCCTCATTCCCATTCCCTTCCCCCTGGAAGACGCCCATTCCCTGGAAGGGGCCAAAGGCATACGAAAGACAGAAGATATTGAATTTCAATCGTAGCTGCGCTGCAGCTGCAGGAAATCACTTCCTGGCGACAAAGTAGACGACGGGAAATGGAAATCAGCAGCAGCCAGGAGGGGGACAGGAGGACAGCAAGGAACAAGGATGCTCGGACCAAAGAAATCCCCAAAGAAAGTGCGGGTCAAAGAAAATAAAACTTTATGCAAATGCCGCCACTTTGGCCGTAAAATGAAATAGTCCCCCCGGTCTCGGAATTATACCTTGATGCCTGATGAGGTCCCGGTCCCAGCCAATTGTCCTGTGCCATGAATTGAAACAAAGGGACTTCCCACTTCCCTCCTTCCGTGGGTTTGGTATAGTTTGGGAACCCGTGCAGGTGACTTTAACTTTAACTTGGGGAAAACTTTTGCATTTTCCAGCCAACAGAATTTACCTACATTTCGCTTTGGGGAATCGAAACTTTTTCCCTGCTCCTGCCTCCAACTCCGAGTCCGCTGCTGTTTCTGCTTCTGCGACAATGAAATGTCCGACGGAGTCCGACTCCATTCCGGAAGTTGTTACGGACACGTTGTCCGCCGTTTGGCGTCGTTCTCCGGGTCTGCCGTTTGTCCGCTGCGGATGCAGATTTTTGGCCACTCGCCTGCCGCCTCGCCTCGCCTCATTATTAATATTATTATTATAATGCTCCTTATTTTGGGGCATGCACCATTTTTGCACCGGAAACGGATGCTGTTATTAATTCACATATCCGTGTTGCGGGTGCAAGTGTGTGTGTGTGTGTGTGGACACCAGCAGGGTCTATCCCATCATCAGGTATCCCTGCTTTTTGGTTTCCACTTCTTTCTTTCATTCGTTTCTTATTTCCTAATTAAATTTCCGCACTTTATTTTGTGCCACTCGCTCTTTTTTCTTTTTCCATCTCTCATTCCCTGTGCCCATGCTCTTTCTTTTCCTGCTGCTGTCTTAATTGTGTTTGTGCTACTCTATTTCATCCAGTCACACAGATACACAGCGACACACAGACACACTCGAAGCGACTCGAAGAGAACTCATTTATGCCACACAGCAGCTATCCTTCCCATCCCCGCATCTTCGAGGAGTCTCTGGCTCTGAGACTCTGAGGTGGTGCCGTGGCTCTCTGTTTGCGCTAAAATAATTGAATTAATAATTGCTGCGTGTGGTTTTCATGCTTTTCCAGCTAAGAAAAACCCCCAGCTGAAGCAAAGTGCTTAAGCTCCAAGAGTCGTGTGCAACTTTTATCTTCTGGCGCTGCTCCTGCCACTCCTGCTACACACAAACTTCTTTCAGGATGCCTTTACTTACTCACTGATTTAATAAATTAACGTTAATTAGCTGTTGTGGTCGATGGCAGCAGCAGCAGCACAAGCAGCGGCAGGAGGGGGTGTGGCATGCCTCTTTGGGTTAGCTGAAAAGACAATAATGCCAGTAAAATCCATGCCCCAGCGAAACTTTCTCTCCGTCGGAACGTGATTTTCGCGCTTCTGCCAAGATTTAGCCCCGACTTTCGATATGTGAATTATGAGGCAACCATCGAGGGGGGCATGACGGTGTGCTATATGCCACAACCGAACCGAACCAAACCGATAATTCATAAATGTAAATGGATTTCCTTTCATTTGCGGGGGGGTGGGGGTTCTGGCTGTTTGCTTATGCCATTTTAATTAGCGAAAATGAGTGGCCAAAGATCTCTGGGAAAAAGGGACTCATTTCGTGAACGAAGAATCATGCAGGAAGAGAACAGCAGGAAGAACAGGAACAGGAAGCAGTCAAGAGAGCAACCAAAAGATAGAGCTAAAGAGGGGCAGGAGCAGAGGCTGAGCAGAGTGTGTGTGCCACAAATGAATTCATTTCAATCTTTGAGCTCGAGTTTCAGTGGCACAAAGAATCCAATTAAAGTCAGAAATAGACTCCCAGAGTCAAGGCTCTGCCGCAGGCTCCCAAATGCAATTGCAGAAGAGGTCAAAGAGTGTTGGCCAGTCAAGGAAGTGGCCAAAAGTGGACAAAACTTGAGCTTGAGCTTGAGCTTGAGACATTCCATTCCCAGGCACACACACGGACACGGACACATGCTAAAAGGGAGCCATATGCCCTGGGGCTGTAGCTAAGGAGAAGTCCAGGCTGTCGAGCATTTAAATTGAAATTAACATCCTGTTGGCTGTTGGGTACTGGCTGCTCCTCCACATATGCCAGGGTAGCAGGGTAGCAGAGTAGCAGGAGGTGCCCTGTATGCTCATTATTGTGGCCAGAACCCAGAACCAGTCGAAAGTCAAAGTCAAAGACGGAAGACGTACGAAAAAAAATAAGAAGAAGCCAACAAGAAGAAAAGTTCTGCCCAACAAGTGTTGGCCACAAGAGCAAGCGGCAGGGCGGCAGGACAGCAGGCAGCCAAAGGAA